ATTCTCTCTTAGCAGCTGGTACTATATACAATTTCTTAGCTCTTTTGCTTTAACATTTATGATCCAATCAGTATTGATAAATTTGCTGTTTTTAGGCTAATAAGAATCTCTCAAGCAAAGTGAAGCTAAAAGATATATATTTAACTGGAGGAAAAGAGAGTTGTCAAATATTAGATATATATGTCAGCTGTACACAGTCTGTACACCTTTAATCCCAGTACTAAGGAGGCAGAATCAGGCAGCTCTCTGTTGAGTTCGAGGCCAATCTTGTCTACAAAGTGAGTTCAAGGATAGCCAAAACTACATGTGCATGAGGCCATTTCAAAAAAGAAAAATGCCCCAAAATCTTACATGACAGGCTTGCATTAATAAAATATAATTATGCTGTCTTATAAAGTCTAGTTTCACCCTAAAAGCATAAAATTGCCTAGCTGTCAGTACCCTGCTGCAGTGTAGTGAGTCTTTCTGGATCCCACCAGCCAGTTCCCAAAAAAATGGGACAGAGACTTACTAATTACGAAAGCTCAGCCTGTAGCTTAGGTTTGTTCCTAACTAGTTCTTATATGCTGTGGGATGTCTTTGTATGCTGTGAATGTGCTGCTCTCGTTGGCTGATAAATAAAGCTATTTTGGCCTATGGAAAGGCAGGATAGAGCCAAGTAGGAAAGCCAAATGAAGACAGGGAGGAGGATGGGGTCTGGGAGATGCCAACCAGTCGCCGAGGAAAGAAGACATGTAAAAAAATCAGGTTACAAACCTTAAACTACATCTAAATATTCGTTCTGTGCCCACAGATAAAATGCAGTCCTCATCCCTCAAAGAATTTTTTCCTTGCAACAGATAGAGACCAATTACAGGAAACAACAATCAATCAAAATGCAAAGTTGCGGGCCATTGGTATAGGAGGATTCCAGGGAATACAAAAGACAGCTGGGACATCCAGCCTAGTGGGACTGAGCAACTACTAGATTCTTGACTTTCCATTCACAACAGGTCAATGTTGTACTGCAGCCTGTAAGTCATTCCAATAAATCCCATAGACAGACAGACAGACAGACAAGGAGATTTATTTAATAAGTTCTGTGACTCTTGAGAACCCTTACCCCTTACTAATATACTGACCTAGGGGCATCCTGATCTCTAATGGTTCTTTTGCCACTGTTTAGTTTTGGAAAACAAATTCAAATCAAACATAAAAATACCAAAACCCATGCAGAAGGTACTCAGGATTTTATGGCCAAAAGTTCATCTCATTTACTTTTATTCAGTCAAGACAAAATACGCAGAAAACACAATCACTAACACGCATACCCAGAAAAGGTAGTGTGCAATTTAACTGGCATTTTCTCTAGCTCAGATTTCTCTAGCTATGCCTTGCTATGCCAATTCTGCAGAACACAAAATATGCAATTCTTTCAGAATACAGTGCCCAGTAGGAAAATCATAGTCCTCTACTAAACAATAATTATTAGCTATAATATCTGTACCTAAGCAAAACACAAAATCAGTTGCATTCTTTTGTTACATTTTTGGTTTTTGAGACAAGGGCTACATAACTTAGGCTGGCCTCCAACTCCTGATCTTCCTGTCTCAGTTTCCTGAATCCTAGCTTTGCTAAGCACTACCATGCCTAGCTGAACTGCATTCTTTATGAGAATACTTTTCAAAGAATGGTAATTTACAGGTTTCCCCCTCACATACTTATTTCTTGTTGAAAAAAAAATTTAAAAATCTGCTTTTAGGGCTGGAGAGAAGGCTCAGTGGTTAAGAGCACTGGCTGTTCTTCTAAAGATTCTGAGTTCAATTCCCAGTAACCACATGGTAGCTCACAACCATCTGTTATGAGATCTAGTGACCACTTCTGGTGTTCAGACATACATGCAACAAAACATTGTATACTTGATAAATAATAAATCTTTAAGAAAAAAAAAAGGTAACTTATTATAATTACTGCATTCAGGAAGCTGAAGCAGATTTGTCATTGAGTTCCAGACCAGCCAGAGCCTTTCTCCAAAAACTAACAAAAGGTAAACATGGTAGCAATGTAGTTCCAGCACGTCTATAGCAAGATGGGAGGTGAAAACTGAGAATCCCCAGAAGCGTGAAGGCCAACTAACAAGAGACCCTGTCTTAAACAATGTAGAAGGCAAGGACTAGCACCTGAGGTTGTCTTGACTTTCAATAATGTGTACCCTGGCATGTGCACGCATGAACTCGAACACACACAGTTTTGTTTTATAAAAAGCTGTGGCCTATGACATATGGCTCTGTGGGTAAAGGCACATAGGGCCAAGTGTGATTGACCTGAGTTCAACCCCTAGTCCCACATGGTGAAATGAGAATTGACTTTTGCCAATTTGTGTTTGAAACCCAGTGTCGTGCCTCACACTTAATCCCAGTACTCAGGAGGCAGAGGTAGGCGACCTATGTGAGTTCCAGGACAGCCAGAGCTATAGAGCAAGACCTGTAAAACAGGGAAAAAAAAAAAAAAGTCCTCTAACCTCACACATGTGCTAAAGTACAAGTGCACCCACAAGAACATGTGCAGCAACAGTTACTAATAACCCAACCAACTTTGTGTGCCCTTACTATTTTTAATATACAATACTGTTTTACTTTCTCATTAGCAAATTTATGTATTATCTATTACTAAAATATAATTTTGTCAATAGTATGTAAGAAACATAAAAATAGCTTTAAAAACAATCAAGGACCATAAGACTCCAAAAACATGTAAAAATTTAAGGTGGATACAAAACATCATTATGCACTGTAACCAAATTCTTAACCAAATTTTTTATTTTAATTAAAATAGCAAAGCTCAGGTTTTTGTAATAAATTATTTTATTCTAAAATAAATAACATTTCCTATATTCATGATTAAATTATTTCTACCATATCTCCCTCGAAATGTACCTGCCAGCTTTTTGTCTACTTTCGGGGGAGGGGGGGAAGGTACCACGTTAGACCATAAAGAAAGTTAACGACCCTTTAAATTATCACTTGAAGTTTATTTTGCAGACTTTCCTTCAATATCATGTAATTTACTGATCGAGACTGTTTATAGATGCTTGGCTTTTGAGACAATTAAAAACCTTCACGAACTAAAATTTGACATCATGATTTGTTTAACTTAAGAAGTGTTATGACGGTGAAACGAACAGAAGATTTAAAGCAGGAATATGATGACTTCTGAAACAACCGTCAGAAGGGAGACAGGAGGGAGATGATAGGGAAGGAAGAGGGCGAGACAGGCAAGAACATTATCCTCCCCCACTTGCAAAAGGGAGGGAAACTGAGGCCTAAGCAGATAACATAATCAACCAGTCAGTTTCTATTAAGGCATCTTCTTTACATGTTATTGAATCCCATCATGCCTTTCATATTGCCAGCAGCACCTTGTTGAAACTGCCTCATCATTGACTGAAGTCCTGCCATGCCACCTAGAAGGAACAGAGAGTTAAAACAGGTCATGACCATGTGGATTCTGAAATGGTTACTGCTTTTGCCTAAAAAGTACCTTCATTTCTAAAAAATGACAGCAATTTAGTCTGTAGACTTTTAAAACTATACCAAATTAAAATGTGTATTATTAGATTTATTTTCATCTAAAAAAAATGAAAATGTGCTCCATAAAGTTACCATGAAGAATATGGTAAAACATGAAAAGATCTTGGAATAGTTCCTGTTCACACTCAAGAAGTTTAAACAAAAACTAAGTCTTCTTGTAACAAGAATTCATTTTATAAAATTGATCAATTCGGGATAGGGGCTGTGATTCAAAGAACCTATGGAAAAAGAATTCACCATTTGTTAAGCACTCAGAACCATACTAAATGCTTTCACATATATCAGCTTACTTATTTGTCACAATCCCCTGATGAGATATTATCTAAAATCTTTATAGAAAAGGAAACTGAGGGCAGTGGTGGCGCACGCCTTTAATCCCAGTACTCGGGAGGCAGAAGCAGGCGGATCTCTCTCAGGTGAAGGCCAGCCTGGTCTTTATACCAACTTCCAGGGCAGCCAGAGCTATATAGTGAGACACTGTTTCAAACCCCTCTCCCTCAAATCCCCAAATAAACATACAAAATAAAGTAATTATAAAACTAGAAAAAAAAAATGGGCGTGGAAGATGGCTCCTCAGGTAGTGAGCTTATTTGGTGCACAAGCATGAAAACCTGATTTGGATTTCCAGCCCCTGCACAAAAGCTGTGTACAGTGGCCAGTGTTTCTAAAATTCCAAGCCTGGGAGGAAGGGAGGAGAGAGAGACATGTGGATCACTTGGTGGTCAGTCATCCAGACTAGCTGAAACAGCAAGTTGCAACCAAATTAGCTCAATAAGAGACAAGTCAATCAGTTAGAGATACTATTTAAAAAGGTAGAGAGCAAGAGAGGAAGACATGATCTCCACAATACTTGTTCCAGCTTACAAATGCATACACCACATATTCGCACACACCACGTACATACACACAAATGGCAGCAGAGGAAAACATAAAACCTCAGCTTATTTATAAGCTAGGGAGATGGTTCAGCGAGCAAAAGTGCTAGTTGCTCAAGTCTGATAACGACATAAATTCCCAGAACCTATGCAGGAAGCTACACGCAGCAGTGTGCATCGGCAATCTCAGCTCTCAACAAGGTCAAGGCTATAGGCCTGCTAGCCTAGACTACACACACAGCACAGCAGCGAAAACAATGAGACACTGCTACAGCAAGGCAGAAGGCAAGGACTGACTCTGGAAGTTTGTCCTTGATCTTATCTGAGCAAGAAAGCATGAGCACACACACACATCATATACACAAAAACCACAGAGACACACAGACACAAAGTTCTTCATAGTCTTCAAAAAACTTCTGCTTATCTAGAATGATTAACAATCAAGAATCAGATGGTCATCTTCCTTCAACCACTACAATAGTCTTACCATTAAACTACAACCCTCATAAATTTAACTGTATATTACAATCGGTAAATGCAAGGATTTTGTATTTACCCATGTGATGAAGAACTCGTGGATCCATCATTTTGGCCATTTGTTGATTCAATTTTGCCATCTGTGACTGACTCACATTCTTAGACATATCACCACCTGATAAAACAAAAAATTTAATTAGTTTTTGATGTGGTATAGACTATCATATACAGTTTACTAAGATTTTTCTCAATTACATCTTTTTGATGAAAAATACAAATTCTTTATAAAGGATCGTATGAAATGCTTTTCATTGGTGTTACTGCGTTAGTTCTGGCTGGACTGGAATTCACTGATAAGCCAAGCTAGACAGAGATCCACCTGCCTCTCCTTTCTGAATAATGGGATCAAAGACCTCCTGAGTGGTGAGATTAAAGGCGTGGGCCATCATTACACAGATCAATTTAAGTATTTTATTTTACATTATAGAAATTAAATCAAAAGAGGGCTAGAATAGTCAAATTCTTCAGAAAAGCAATATCCTTTTATTTTATACTATACATACATAGCAAAATAAATTCCAGCAGGAATAAAAAGACAAACAAAAAATAAATCTGAGCAAGATAAAGATTGGTGCAATAATACCTACACAACATGCATGAAATTCTGGGTTTGAGTCCCAGACCCACTAAATCAATCAAACAAAAAATGAGTAGAAGAAGTACTAAGCTGATTACTGCTGCATCAACATGGGAAAGACTGCATGAGTAAAAGAGATTAAAGGAAAAGATAAACAGGCATAGCTTACATTAAAATGTCTTTTTATTTGTTTGTTTGATTGACTGAGACAGGGTCTCTCTATGTAGCTTTGGTGTCCTAGAACTCTCTTTATAAACCAGGCTTACCTCTCCCTCCCCGAGTCTTGGGATCAAAGGTATATACTACTATTCGCAGCTTTGTTCTGTTGGTTGAGATAAGTCTTACTACAAAGTCCTAACTGATGTGGAACTTGAAGATATCCTTCTGCCTCTTAATTGCTGGGATTGTAGACACTGTGCCCACTTGAAACTTTGGAGAGGAGGTGGTGGACTAGGGCCCAGAGCCTCAACATGCTAGTCAAGCACTCTACCTCTGAGCTACACCTCTAGCCCTAAAATAGAAATTTATTAGAAAGCAGAAATAACCTTGGGACAGTCTTTGCAGATGAAAAGCAAGGATACTAAGATGTTATTACAGAGCAATAGGGAGGAAAAACTGAGGGACTGAACAAGGAAGAGGTGACTCACCAACGAAACTCTAATCATTACATGCACAAAGAAACAAACTTTTAAAATTAAAACTGGAAATGTACTGAAAAATATGTGACCATTAAACTAGAAACTACATTACAAAATTTACTTAATGAGTAATCAGATAATAGAGAGTGTTCCTGAAAATACTTTTTCAACTAATACTGTATTTGTGTCAACTGTATAATTTGTAAAAAGATCTATTTTAATGGGAGGATTTGTTAATTTGATTGCAAGACTTAAAACATTTCCTAAATTATGTTAATCCACAGTCTTAAAAAGAAATAAAATGTTACCTAATTCAAAAAAAAAAAAAAAGAAAGAAAAAAAAAGAAAATTTACTTAAGTGTCTATTATACTTCTAACCAAAGAAGACAAAATTGACTCCATGGAATTGCCTAGAAACTGACCAGGACACTAAAGCAGACAAGTCAGTTAAAGATCTAAGAGGCCTGCAAGATACAAGCACTGCTAAAATAGGAGTCAGTGGTTAGAAAGAGAGGGAAGGAGGGACAGACAGAAGGAGGAGGGAAGGGAGAGAGGACAATACAATTACTGCTGGTACTGTTCTGACACTTGCCCAGCTACTTAAGGAATTGCAGCTGGTCAAGCTGGCAATGCTCCTGCTGCTTCTCGTGTCTCAAGAATGGTGGGAGTATGAGCATGTGATAGCCAACCCAATTAATCAATATATTTTGAAGAATGTTTGACAAAATGGAAAATAATCAGTAGTTACATTGACTTTTGTTTCCAACAGCATTTGTTGGATTCTCTGAGGAATGAAAAGGAGTTCACTTTTTATATACTCTTACATTCTCTAAATATTCTATAGTATATATGTTTATTGGGGATGGGAACATGAGGGACTGAGATGAGTTGGGAGAGGGACAGAGAGGGAGAGCAATGAAAGAGATACTTTGATAGAGACAGAGACAGCCATTATGGTCATAGGGAGAAACCTGGTGCTAGGGAAATTCCCAGGAAACCACAACTAACATTCCTAACAATAGTGGAGACGGTGCCTGAACTGGCCTATCCTTATAATCATGTTAGTGACTACACTGTCATCACAGAACCTTCATCCAATAACTGACAGAAGTAGATGCAGTGACCTACAGACAAGCTCTGGGCTGAGTGCTTGGAGTTCACTGAAGAGAGGGAGGAGGGATGATCATATGAGCAAGGAGGGGTCAAGATCATGATGGGATAAATCACAGAGACAGCTGACCTGAGTTAGTATAGGAGCTCACAGACTCTGGACTGACAGCTAAGGAGTTTGCATGTGACCCAACTAGGCCCTCTGAGTGTGGGTAACAGTTGTGTGGTTTGATCTGTTTGTGGGGCCCATGGCATTGGGACCAGGACTTATCCCGGGCACATGAACTGGCTTTTTGGAGTCCATTCCTTATGGTGGAATACCTTGCTCAGCCTTAACACAGGGGGGAAAGGCCTGGTCCTGTCTCAACTTAGTATGCCTTGCTTTCCCTAAGGAGTGGATTGAGGGTGAAATGGGAGGAGGTGGGGGGCAGCAGAAGGGGAGGGAGGAAGAACTGAAGTTGGTATGTAAAATAAAAAAGAAAATCTCACTTTCACTATTAATGTCTACCATCTTGATTATAAAAACAGGTAAGTCATGTATCACATGATAACTCCTAGTGGTTCTTGACTATAATATTAACTTCAGATTCTCTTTCCTCTTCAGTACTGGGATGGAACCCAGGAACTCAGACAGGCTCTACTACTGAGTTAAGCCCCAAACCCTACACAAGAAATTCAGCAATGACTTTCCTAATAATGCTTTGTGTTTTAACTTCATCTTTTAAGTGATAACGCGCGTTTTCCTCTTACCTTTGAAAAGTCCTTTGATACCACCCATCTTTTTCACCATCTGTGCAAACTTGGTATACTGCGTCAGAAGCTCTTGGACATCTCTTGTTGACACACCTGACCCTCGGGCAACTCTCTGGATTCTGCCTGGTTGCTTACTAAAGACCTTGGCACCATCTGTACTGTCCAGTTCTGCAGATAAGAACCAAATAATTTCATTTACAAAAGATTATCATTTATTATCACAGTGGTCAATCTCTCTACCTCTGAGTTACACCTCCAGTCCTAAAAATGGAAACATATTAGAAAATAGAAATGAAGCCAAGTGAAGCACTGGGTCTTAACAGAGGGTTCCTGTATGCTAGGCAAGCACCCCACCAACTCTCAGATATGGGGGAAGGTATGTGTGCACACATATACATGTATGAGCATGTGTTGATATATATACATATGTACAAATGAGTACTCTCAACTTATCTGTTTGACAGAGGGTCTCTCAATGACCCTAAAACTTGCTGTTTTGGGTAGGCTGGCTGAGCAGCAAGCTCCTTAGGGTCCTGTCTCCACTGCACAGAAGGTCAAAGGAACATACAGCCATGCCTGGCTTCTGTACACAGATTCTGCGGGTTTGAAATTCAGTCCTCTTGCCTCACAGCAAGTGCTCACCCCCTGAGCAGTCTCCCCAGTCAGCTTCTTTTTACAGAGAGAACACGTCATTTCTTTGTGCATTATGAAAGATCTTACATACAGAACAATAAACACATAAACGGTCAAACCATAAAACAGATTTAACAAATGGTAATGTTTATCATATTTGCTTCTAATTGAAAATTTTAATATAAAATATATTTAAAAATATTTATAGCATTAGAATAAAAAAACAAAGCAAACATATGTATTCTTCAACTACAATTTAAACAGAACATTCTGAGAACCAACAGGCATGGAGGCATACACCTTTAATCCCGGGATTCAGGAGGCAGAGGCAGGAGGATCTAAGTTTGAGGTCAGTTTGGTCTACACAGCAAGACCTAGCCCAGCTAGGGATACATAGTAAGACCTAGCTTCAAAAGGAAGAAAACAATCTGAGGACTTCTGAAACTCTCTACTACTGTGTTTCACATGATTATTCTTTCTATGTCCTCCACACATCACGAGAATATGGCTTATTTCAAAAACAGAACAGAAACACTCACCTCAATTCAACCTATTAAACAGTTGCTAACTCCTATTTTACAAATTTAGATCTCATAAGCAAGTAGAAGACCAATTAATGGAGAAATTCTTGTACATTCTATAATGGAGAAATTAGAGCTGGTGATATTCTAATCCTTTTGTAGTGTACTCACAAGTCTCCTTTAGCTTTTTGATCACTCAAGATATAAGGTGCAGTTGTTCTGCCTTTATTTGTATGCAATGTAAGAAATGAGGTGGACTTCAGTCAAAATATCTATTTTGAGCTACATGGAAGGTAGCAGGCATACTCAGGAGGTTGAGGTAGGAGGGTCACAAGGTCTGAGGCTAGCTTGGTACATATAGCAAACCCTGCCTTAAAAACAAAAAAATAAATAGGAGGAGGGGATTATACAGTGTAACTGTCTCAAAACAAAACAAGCAAAGACCAAGTAAAATAAACAGAATCCAGATGGAACAGAAAACACCCCTCAGTCTCCTTTTCTTTGTATCTCAGGCTGAGCTCAAACTGTGATCTTCTTGGCCTCTTGAGTAACAGAATTTTAGGCAGATGATATGCCTAGCCTAACACTCATAACATCCCTAACATTCCTTAACAAGCAGTTTAGATGGCTCAGCAGATAAAGCTGTTTGCTGCCAAGCCCAATAACCTGAATTTAACCCCTGAAATCCACATGGTAGAAGGAGAGACAACTTCTCCAAGTTGTCCTCTGACCTCCACACATAAACCAAGTGCTGCTTCCAGGCAATAAGTAACTAAGTAAGATTTTTTTAAATGGGGGTGGGGGTGGGGCAGCTGGGCAGTGGCAGCACACAGCTTTAATCACAGCACTTGGGAGGCAGAGGTGGGCAGATCTGAGTTTGAGGCCTGTCTGGTCTACAGAGCTAGTTTCAGGACAATCAGGGAGGGCTACACAGAGAAAACTTATCCCAAAACACACAGACAAAACACCCACCAAAAAACAAAATAAATAAAATTAAATTGAGGTAGGGGTAGCTAAATGGTTAAGAGTACTGGTCGATTTTCCAGAAAACCAGGGTTTATTTCCCAGGACCACACAGAGGATCTCAAATGCCTATAATTCCAGTTTCAAGGACTCCAACGCCCTCTCTGACCTCCCCGAGCACAGCACACACATTATGAACAAATATACATGTAGGCAAAAACACCCATACATATAAAGTAATAATTTAAAAAATCAGTTTCCACTATTAAAACAGTAGGTGGCCTCAGTTTTAGCAATCCCAGTGACTGGCTAACAGCATAGGAAATACAGGCTGCAGAGTTTCTAAAATCGGTCCAAGTACAGAGAAGCAAAGCCTGGTGGCACATGCTTTTAATCCTAGCACTAAGGAGCAGGAGGAGGAGATCTCTCTCAATTTTGAACCCAGTTTGGCCTACATAACAAGTTACAGGTCAGCTAAGGCTATTCGTGAGACTGTCTCATAAAAACAAAACAAGAAACTACAGAACAAATGTATGAAATATCAAAATTGAATCCAGGAGCAGAAGACACCCACACATGTAAACACTGATTTCTGCAAAGCTCAGCAACAAAGAGGAGTGAGGCTAAGACTGTCTTCACCAACACAGCTGGGTCAATTGTCTCCCTTCACAAACACACCTTCTCAGAGCTCCTGATGCAGGGATGAAAGAAAAACGGGAGGACTTCTAGAAGACAATATTACAGAATATCTTACGACTCTCGAGGGAGAAAGAACGCTTTCTCTTGATACTCGGTTACATCAGACGTCTACAGTTTTCAAGATGTTTCAGTTAACCTGATCTCTTCCTTTTCTAGACTGTTTTTATTTAGTTTCTCTGAAACCAAGTGTTGCTTTCCATCTGTTGTTGACCTTGTGCTTGCGACACAGCCTAGGCTAGTTCAAGCTCATTCAAGGTACTCCTGCCTCAGTGCTAGGATTATAGGTGTGTGTCTACATACCCAGTGTCTTGGCATTTCCCATTTTGATTAAGCTTGAGACTCAGTATTACCAATTTCTACACACATGAAAAGGATTTTTATTGAGACTTTATTATTTTGTTTTTTTGAGGTAGGGTTTCCATGTACCTCAAGCTGGCTTGAACCTTAACTATGACCTTAAATTCCTATTCTTGCGGTCTCCCCCTCCCAAATACAGGGATCATAGATGTGCAAGACCTTGCCTAGAGACTGGGATTTTATTGAAACTAAAAATAAACTTGTGGTAATTGAAAGAAGTATGTGTCACTTTGTTGTAACTCTAATTAAAGAATTTTTTGTTACATGTCAAACCAAAATGTTTGCCTGGCATTTCTGTATGTACTCCCTTGCCAGGAATAGAAGGGCTTTCAGAGGTGTGAGAGCCATCATGTATCCTACAGACTGACTGAGGATAGCATCCCAAGAGACATGTTTAGGTTTGACCCCAGCCTCTCTACCTCCAGTGACCTTGACAATTTTTTACTCAGCACGATTAAACTCAGTTTCTTTACCTTGAAAAGATAGATGATAGTCAACTATACCCACTAATGGTTTACATTTGAAAGGTACACATTAAGAATTAAAGAGAATTAAAAAAAAACCCACTGAATTTATTTATTTATAAATGGCTTTTTTTAAGATTTACTTATTTATGTACTTTATGTATAGAGGTGTTTTGTCTGTACATACAGCTGCACACCAGAAGAATAAACCAGGTCCCGGGGCTGGGGAGATGGCTCAGTGGTTAAGAGTACTGACTGCTCTTCTAGAGGACCTGGGTTCAATTCCCAGTACCCACATGGCAGCTCACAACTGTCTGAAGATCCAGTTCCAGGATATCTGACACTTCACACCAATGCACAGAAAATAAAAGTTAAATGAACCAAAAAAATTTAATAAAATAAAATAAACCAGGTCCCATAAGACTGCAGTTATAGATGGCTGTGAGCCACCATGTGGGTACTGGAAATTGAATGCAGGACGTCTGGAAGAACAGTCAGTTCTGCTGAGCCATCCCTCCAGGCCCTGATTATTTTGAGACAGGAACTCACCAGTGTATTGCTCACCAGTCTAGAACTTGCTATGTAGACCAGGCTGGCCTCAAACTCAGAGTTCCACCTGCCTTTGCTTTTCAAGTGTCTGGGTTAAAGGAGTGCACCACCATACCCAGCCAACGTTTAGTGTTTTTAAGTCCGGGATTCTCTCGAAATTGACTGTAACTTTCCCCATTTACTTCTATCAACGTGATGAAAACATACACTTCTTTCTCTGGAACTCAGAGCAGTGTTGTATTTTGAATTTCTTTCAATGATCAATCAGTCCAGTGATCACAACCCTTTAAGACAGTGCTCACAAGTTACTTCAGATCTACCTCAAAATAAGCTTTTATCTAAGTTTCTTCCATCTTGCCAACAAGAAAATATGAAACTCTAAACTTGCTGGTCTCAGAATGCTGCCCACCCCGTCATCTACTCTCTTACCTTGCTGATCTTAGAATATTACCCTCAGTCAGCTACTCTCGTACCTTGGTCATTCATGCTATCCATTATTGTCATCAGTTTCTTCAGTCTTGCCATTGACTCCTGCTCATTTCCTTTGCTCATAAAATCTGTTCCAAAACCTGGAATCATCCCCTAAAACAGATTTAAACAGTCATCAATGACTTACTTAATACTGCTCAAAATGTCACTATTTAAATTTGAAATTAATTCTTAAAAGATACATTTTACCCAAATGATTTATGCAAGTATAACTGTTCTTAGAAATTGTAATAAAAAGATAAAGTATATCATATAAACTCATGAGTACGTCATAATGAAACCCACTATTTTAACAATGGATACACACTAATAAGGCTTTTCTGTTATAGCCATGCCCGCTGTACTATAGTGCATTAAACATGCTTTCTTTGTACAAATAAAATGAACACAAAAACATATAAAGAAATTTTAGAAACATTTAAAGATAACTAACCAAGATCTGACTGAATGGGCCCATTTTCATGATATTCTGAAACTGTTCATACATGTCTCGCAATGTAAACTGACCTGAAATGCAATATAAATAATTCAGAGACAGTAGAAAATGTACATTTCCATTCAATAAAACTAGTATTTTCCTTAATCATCTTGAAGCGTATTATCCAATCAATAAGCATTCACTGCACAGCTACTGTGTGGAAGACAGGATGAATATGCTGCAAGGAGCAACAAGCACATGGACAGGCACGCTAGGTAGATGTATACAAATAAACAAGGCAAACTACATCTGCTAAAATTGCTACAACTAAAAGGCTTGGACACAGCAAACACTAACGAGAATACAGAACATGTAAAATTCCTATGCATTATCAGCAAAAAATAAATGGGCATTATCAGCAAAAAATATAAAATAGTGAAAATGATTTGTAAGATTTAAAATGGACAGACTGAGGACAAAATAGTACTCAAATAATGCCAGGAGTGATGACACATGCCTTTAATCCCAGCAGAGGCAGCTGGATCCTGTGAGTTTGACGACAGCCTGGTCTACATAGAGTTTTAGAACAGCCAAGGCTACATAGAGGCCCTGTATGAAAAAAAATTAGGGTGCCGGGCGGTGGTGGCGCATGCCTTTAATCCCAGCAGAGGCAGAGGCAGGTGGATCTCTGTGAGTTCAAGGCCAGCCTGGTCTACAAGAGCTAGTTCCAGGACAGGCTCCAAAGCTACAGAGAAACCCTGTCTCAAAAATCAAACAAAACAAAAAACCTAGGGTTTCATTGATGACTATAAAAATATTTTGTTGATGGGCATGGTAGCTCACACCTGTGATCTCTACACTCAGAAGGTCTAGGAGAGAACATTCCAGTTTATAGCTAGCCAGGATTAGAAAGGAGGATTCTATCTCAAAACCAAAACCAAATTCTGTGGACTGGTGAGATGGCTCAGTGGATGAGGTACCTGCCATGCAAACTCATGACCTGAGCTCAATCCCTGGAAACCAGAAAAGGTGGAGGCAGAGAACTGATCAGTTGTCCTCTGATCTTCATATACATGCCACAGCATGCCACTCACACATCTCTCTCTCTCTCACACACTAATAATAAAACAACAACAATAATAATAAACTAAGGGAGAAATCATGCTGTGTGAAATAAACTGGCTCAGTGACTAAGAGTGCTTGCTGTTCTGCTGTAGGGATCAGCATTTAGAGTCTAGCATTCACTTTGGCCATCCATAAAAAAGTGGAACCATCTAGATGGCTCAGTGGGTAAAGATGCTTGCCACCAAACCTAACAAGCTGAGTTTGATCCCCCGAATCCACATAAAGGAAGGAGAGAAGGGACTACTCTGACCTCCACACATGTGCGTGACTTGACATGTGTAAGTACACACACATTCATTCATACACACACAAAATTTGTTTTGTAAAATGAAATAAGTGACCACTGAACAAACAAAAACCTCATACAACAGAATCAAGTGAAAGCTTTGAAATTAAAAAAAAAACAGGTAACACTGTCAAATATTAACAACTGGAGAACATGAAAGCTACCATTAGGAAACTAGGTAGAGCTGGTGACCTCAGAATGGGCAAAACATTAGGAACAAAACAAAAATACCTTAGAGACCTAAAGAGTCGGAAATCAGAGAACAGACAAAGAGCAGTATACAGAAGCAGAACTAGGGCACTGCTTCACAATGAAAGAAGGGCCTGGCATGGTGTACACCTCTAATCCCAGAACTTATGAGGCAGGCGTATCTGAGCCCAGCTTAGCCTGTGTAACAAGTTCTAGGACAGCCAGGGCCACATTGTCAGACCCCGTCTCAAAAGAAAACAGAAAACAAAACAAAAAGCCAAAACATACAAAATGAAAGGGAAAGAAATCAGACAACGAGGGATAATTTCAGCCACTGAACCCGCAGTAACTGAAGACCTGTGTGTCAGACACTGAGCAAGGTACTACGAACATGAAGATGAAGAACACAGCATGAACCTTTCCTTCACCTTCAAGCAGGGAAGGTAAATATCAAATGACTGTAACGGATGACAACAATTATAAAGTACAGACCGACCCAGAGTACAAGACCCGTGTCAAAATATAAGTATACTAAGTGTATACTGAATTCCCAACTGTTTTTGTTTTAAGAATGAAAATCAAACTTTCTATTTTAACTTTCAGCTAATTTGATCACAAGAGAAAACTAATTCAGTAGCTGCCTGTTCAGATGCCCAAAAATTAAAATAATTTGGGTATAAATCATCTAAAATAAGTATGTGACCTTTTTTTGGAGACAGAGTTTCACTATGTAGCTCTGAATAACCTGGAAGTCACTTTGTAGACCAGGCTATCCTGGAACTCAAAGACATTAAAGGTAAAAGCCACTATGCCAAGCTTAAAAATGTATTGGAAAAATTGATTCTAACAATAGACATTATCATTTCCAATGAGTTAACATCAAATTTATCAAAAAGATGCACTAGGAAAATGTTTCAGTGGGTAAAGGTGCTTTCTTGCAAGCCCAGTGACCCAAGTTCAATCCCTGGAACCATGTAAAGGTGGAAAAGAACAGCTTCACCCACATTACCCTCTAACTTCTTTATGAGTGCTGTGGGACATGTGCTACGCCCAAGGGAAAGTACAACAGTGCACATCTGTAACCAAAGCAGAAGCAGGAAGATCAGAAGTCCAAAGCCAGCTTGACCTGTACAGTAAGATCTCTCTCAGGAAACCAGCAGGCTGGGAGGCAGACAGCAGTAACGTACTTGCCTAGCATGCACAAAGGCCTGGGTTAAAATCTCAGCACCACAAAAAAGGAAAAACAAGCAACAACAACAACAAAAAAAAAAATGAAAGAGAAAATACTTGAGATCAAATACGTTTTTTGCTACAAATATACCATGCTTCAGCTTCTCTATAAGTGCCTCGTTGTCATCCAGCTTCAACTCGTTGACTTTATCTATCAGGCCTTCAATGTCACCCATACCTGTAAGACACCAAATAGAAAAATGAACAGTTAATAATACACTCACCTTCACATTATACAAAATATACTGACACATGTAATAGTTTTGCAAGGTTAGTTAAACACTCTTACTGTATTTTATATGAAAAACAATCGGCGCTAAGGAGGAAGCAAAGGCATAAATCAGGGAACCTCCTAATTCCATGATCTATAACTATACCACTTTAAGACAGAAGTTTTACTATCATTACAACTTCTATTACTATAACTACATATTTCTGCATTATGTACTCAAATTCTTCCTCAAAAGTCTGCATTCAATGACTCATTTTTATCATCCTAACCACAGAAAATAAGAGGCTAGAGGGCTGGGGATGCAGCTCAGTAGCACAAAAGGCTCGGCTTTTGACCCCAAGCACTTTAACAAAGAATGAAAAGTAAGATAGAGGTTAGGATGGTAAGTCACAGAAGGAAATGGCCATCTGAAGCTAGTTAGTAAGCATGGGATTAAAACCCTGATTGGCTCTATGATCCATACTATCTCAGAGATGGCTCTCTAATCCCACACTGTACTTACCAAGAAGTTTGCTGATAAAAGGCTGTGTTTTGAAAGGTTCAAAGTCATCTATATGTTCCCCTGTACCAATGAAAATAATTGGACTTTTTGTGGCAGCAACTCTACACAGAAAAAAAAAATAATAACCTCAAAAAAGAAAATAATTATCCAGAAGATTTTTCAAAAATAATAGACAAAAGGTAAAAAATTTAAATTTCCTTTTATTAGTTAGAACTATACAAGACAGGCTCCAAAATTCTATTCCTACTTAATTCTCTTTTACAGATCACATCAATTCATTACTAAAATCTTCTTAAAAACCAGAATAAGAAACTCATAAATAGCACACATACACACGATTGTCAAGGCACAGAACAAATAATTTACAGGGCAGTGGGTTTAGCAACCACAACAGTGTGACTTTGACTGATACTCACGCACTGAGAGCACCACCTCCTTTTGCGTGACCATCAAGTTTTGTCACTATTACTGAAGCTACATCTACTTTATCTTTAAAAGCCTTTGCCTGGGCTTCACAAGCTTGTCCAATGGATGCATCCATCACATAAACAATGTTATCCGGTTGCTAGAAAGAACAAATAAAAAGAGACTTGCTTTTACTAGTGTTAAGAAAAGGTTACATGAGTGTGTACAGAATGTTTACTATAAATATTATTTAATAAATACTGACTGAGGGAGCACCATGAATTAAGTAACATATAGGGCTGGATAAAGAGATAAGTAAGAGGACCTTTGAGCCCATGATATATAGAAAAAAATATGGTAGCATTTTGGAAATTATTCTGAGCTGAGACCTGAATAAAGAAGAAAAGTTGCCTGGAGGTGCTGGCACAGGCCTTTAAATTGGGAGGCAGAGGCAGGCAATCTCTGAGTTCAAGGTCAGGCTGGTCTACAGAGCCAGTTCTAGAACAGCCAGGGCAAGCTGGGGTCTGTTTCAAAAACGAGAGGGGGGAGGGAGGCAAGGAGAAAGAAAAGAGAGAAAGAGAAATGAGGAGAACAAGAGGAAGAAAGAGGAAGAGGAAGAATAGGAGGTGGTTATGCAAACATCTTTATGAATGACACTGAGGGTAAACGAACAGTAAAAGTAAACCAGAACAAGAACAAAGCAGAAGGGTGTATCCCGAAAACAGTCAGTAACACACTGAGGCTATGTCCCTTAGATCTGCTCCCATTCGTCAGAATAAGAGCAGCAGTAAAGAGACAAATTGGTGCCAATCACTAACCAAAGATTTATTGACAACATTCCAATAGCCAAATATGAGTTTATAAGGTATGCAACAGGTGTTGAACTACTTCTTACCCCTACATTATTTCCATAATTTTTTGTTTTAGTATGAAGGTTTGAGTAAGAATAGCCCCCAAAGCCTCATATATTTGGGAAGGATTAGGCGGAGTAGGCGTAGCCTTGTTGAAGTACCAGGCCCAGATCTTCCGCTGCCTGCAGATCTGGATGTAGAATTCTCAGCTACTTCTCCAGTACCATATCTGCCTGTGTGCCACAATGTTCCCCACCATGGTAATAATGGACTCTGAAATTGTAAGCCAGTCATAATTATGCTTTCTTTTATAAGAGTTGCCTTGGTCATGCTGTCTCTCTCAAGCAAAAAAAAAAAAAAAAAAAAAAAAAAAAAAAAAAACAGTGACTAATGCACAGGGTCTAGGCCTAACGCTAGATAATGTTACCAGGCTGGCTTTGAACTCTAAGAGATCCATCTGTGCTCCCCAAGAACTAGGATAAAAAACAGGTGCAAGTACATCCAGCTCCATCTTTTAAGAGTATTAAAGAAGACATTAAATGACAATATTAAGGTTCATTTTGAAAAATTTTCAAAATTATTGTTTCTACTGAATTTAGGTAATGAGAAAAATCAACAAATATTTAAGGTTAATTTTTAATTTTTCATTATTATTTTTTTCTATACTGAAGAACAAAAATGATGACATTAAGTCCTTAACACAGTTATAGGTCCCCAAAACAGAAATAATTACTTAATTTATTTCTTACAGGCAAGAAGTAGCTTATATTCATTAAAAACTCTATCAGATTTCATAGTTAAATTGACTGAAGTCCTTTAAATGGTGTTCCATGGAAAGCTACTTACTATAGCATTAGAAACTTGAAGCATTTCTTCAAACAAAGAATCTTCTTGTTTGTGCCGACCACTTGTATCAACAATAATAATTTCAAAATTTTCATTTTTGAATTTCTCCACTCCTTCAGAAGCAATGATGACAGGATCCATTTCTGTATAGCTGTTAAACATGAAACAAATGACTTCAACAACACTAAAATGGGAAAACATCTAAATACTATTTACTTGAAAACTGTTAGTTTATTCTAATCTATTCTGAAAAAGTGAAAATATTGTATTTTCAATTTAGAAGAAATTCCTAGTAAGTAAAATTACAGAAGCCATTTTTTTGGCACGAGGCAACACTAAACTTTCCTACAAAAGTCTGCATAATTCTAATGCATTTTTTTTTCTGAATTGCTTCCTTAATGCTTTAATATCCTCTTTAGTAAGAGAAGTCATGCTACAAAGCATATTATGCCTATCTTTCCATTTAAGAACATTTTGGTATCATTTTATGAAGTTATTAAATTGTATAGCACCCTATCAGATGATGACATCATCATTTACTATGTACATTGAGGTTGGTATGTTCATATTAAAAAGATAGGAAACAGCCGGGCAGTGGTGGCGCACGCCTTTAATCCCAGCACTCGGGAGGCAGAGGCAGGCGGATCTCTGTGAGTTCGAGGCCAGCCTGGTCTAGAAGAGCTAGTTCCAGGATAGGAACCAAAAAGCTACAGAGAAACCCTGTCTCAAAAAATCAAAAAAAAAAAAAAAAAAAGAGAAAGGAAACAAAATAAATACTTCTAAAAACAGAAAGAGGGAGGAGGAAGGGAGGGAGGGAGGAAGGGAGGGAGGAAGGAGGGAAGGAAGGGGAAGAATGAACTGGGGCTAGAGAGATAGCATGGCACTTAAGAGCTCTGGCTGCTCTTCCAGAAAACCTGGATTCAGTTCCCAGTACCAAAAAGCAGGGTTCACAACCATGTTTTCCTCCAGTCCCTCTTCTAGACTGCAAGGGCACAGGGCAGGCACACATGTGGAACACAGGCATATATGCAAGCAAAACACCCACATACAGAATAAAAAAATTAAAGTAAAAATGACAGCTATTAGCATTACTAAACATTATGTAATTAATTGATTGATTACATAGTATGTATTTATTTATTTATTTATTTATTTATTTATTTATTTATTTATTTATTTTTGATTTTGTAAGACAGGGTTTCTCTGTAGTTTTGGAACCTGTCCTGGAACTAGGTCTTGTAGACCAGGCTGGTCTTGAACTCTCAGAGATCCGCCTGCTTTTGCCTCACGAGTGCTGGGATTAAAAGCATGTGGACCACTGCCCGGCACCTTTTTTGGTTTTTAAAGACAGGGTTTTTCTATGTAACAGCCCTGGTTGTCCTGAAACTTGCTTTGTACACCAGGCTAGCTCTGAACTCACAGAGATCTGCCTGTCTCTGCCTCCCAAGTGCTGGGATTAAAAGTACACACTGCCACTATGCCTGGCTATCACCTCAGATTAAAGCCATACAACTATAATTTGTAAAGGTATAAGGAAACATGATCAAAGATCTTTATAGAAAGGGACATTGAGCCAGGCGGTGGTGACATATGCTTTTAATCCCAGCACCTGGGAGGCAAAGGCAGGTGGATCTCTGAGTTTGAGGCCAGCCTGGTCTGAGTTTCAGGACAGCAAAGGCTCGAAAAACCAAACAAAAAAGTAACAATAAGTACATATATACAGATAGTAGGGTACATTAAAAAACTGTAGTAATTATCATTCTAAAATAAAATTACTCTAACAAATGGTTATTATTATTTTTATTATAAGCATACCACTGTACTCAAGTTTTGTTGTATGTATTTACTTACTTCTATATCATCATCATGAAGAAACAGATGCTTTCTGCTATCAAGGCCCTGGAGATGGAACGCATGTACCAGTCTTGCTGACAGGCACATTACCTGCTGAGCCACCTCCTCAGTCCTCTCTGTAGTCGTTTGAATAAGGATTGGTTTTTTGGGGGAGGGAGTTGTTGTTTTAATTTTTGCTCTTCTTCTTCTTCTTCTTTTTTTTTTTTTTTTGATGGAACTAGATATTAAATTCAGGGCCTTATATATCGTAGGCAAGTACTCATCCCATAAGCTACATGCACAGTTCCCATCTGATGAGTTTTGATAAATTTATGCAATCCATACAACCACTGCTGTAGGAAGTGTGCTGACTAATTTTACATCAACTTGACACAAGCTAGACTTTCTACAAGAACCTCAACTGAGAAAACGACGCCCTAAGATCACTGGGCTGGCAGTCCTGGGCTCTGAGACAGCAGGGTGAACAGTGAGCAGCACCCTCACAGCCTCAGCATCAGCTCCCGCCTCCAGGTTCCTGTCCTGACTTCCTTCAATCATCGGCTACAATTTGGAAGTGTAAGTCAAATAAACCCTTTCCTCCGCAGGATGCTTTAGTTCATGGTGTTTCCTCATAGAAACAGTAACCCTAAACTAAGCAGACTCATTATAATTTAAAATAATCTGTCTTCCTATAAATATCTGTATGGAAATGATAATAAAAAGCATTAAAATAGCTAATTAGGTATGTTAATACATACTTCAAATTTTTAGTTCTTTAATAATATACTTATTTGCAGGTGTGTGTACACACACACACCCATAGATGTGCCACAGTACATATGTGGTCGTCTAGGAACACCTTCCAAAGGTGGTGTTCTCCTTCCACCATGCTTCTGGGAGTCAAACTCAGGGTGTCAGGCCCCTACTACATGCTGTTAAATGATAAAGAATTTCAAGAATATATTCCCTAGCATATATTAGTGAGGATGCTTCAGGTGTCTTAAATAAAAAAGAAAGGAAGCCATGTATGGTGGCACACACCTTGTGAGCTGAGACAGTCATAAGCCAGCCAGGTCAGACTGGACTACAACTAAGACTGACTTGCAAAAAGTCAAAAAAAAAAAAAAAAAAATTTAAAAAAAGTAACCTACCTTCCATAGAATGGAATTCTTGCTTTGGTGGCATTCTGTTTTAGCTGGTCAAACGCTCCTAAGAGATAAAGAGTTAATGAAGCCTCAAATATGACAATAAAAATTACAAAAAAAAAAAAGAGGAAGAAAAAAATTGAATTTCAAAATACTACCTGCTCTGAATGTATCTGCACATATCAAACAAGTCTTCCAACCTTTTCTCTGGTAATAATATGCTAACTGGGAAAGGAAGATTAAAAATAAAGCATCAAAAAACAAATCATTGTATATAAAACTTCTTTTGTTTAATTTTAATTTATCCAAGGAGTAAAGTAAAATTGCTCATAATTCTCTTGAATGTAGTATTAAATATTTTGAGGCGCAGCAAAAGTTCTGAAGAGTTTAAATTCTAAGTCTTACTCAATGAATATAAGATGGTAAAGCAGCAACAATCACTGTTAGACAGCCATCACCCCTGCCCTTAAACTGTAACATGGCTAAAGCTTGTTGGGGAGAGAAAATAATCTAGCAACCAAGCTGGGGAACCCAGACATAGGAGAGGGTCAATGAATGGAAAATTAACATAAGGATATGTAAGATAAAAGGCTGTATCAACACAGTGGGACACTCAAAGGGTTTAAGATAGGGTTTCTCTGTTTAACAGCCCTGTCCATCCTGGAATTTGCTCTATAGACCAGACTGGCCTCGAACTCACAGAGACCGCCTGCCTCTGCCTCCGAGTGCTGGGATTAAAAGAATGTGCCACCATCCAGCCATACTTACATTCTTTAAGGACAGGAATTGTCTTTTCTTCTGTTTCCTAGTTTGAGAGGGTCTCCTATAGCTAAGCCTGACCTTGAATTCCAGATCCTCCCACCTCCACCTGGGTCAGAAGTCTAACATTCTGACAAATATCAGAGAAGACTATAGGACTCCACTTTATGTCCTCCAAAAATATTACAAAAGCAGAGAAGATACATAGAGTAACAAAATAAAACAACAATATATAGCTTAGCCTTAAAACAAAACCTCATACAACTGTATCTTCCAGGTGTATTTACCTTCGAGCACGTTGTCGTTTTACCACTTCCTTGCAATCCAACAAACATGATAACATTCTGCTTTCCTTTAGTCGGTGTCCAGGCTTTAACTCCAGGGTCTACAAGCTATATACCAAAAACAAAAATGTCGGACCAACATGACAGGCAAAATCCCGTAACATTAAATTATAAACATTAAGCTAAGGATGTTTTTATTTTATTGAAGCCACCATAATACCAACATTCTTAGGCAATTCTACGAGTCCCCAGCATGCAGACTGAAATTTAAGAGTTTTACAAAATATTGCGGTGCTGAAGTCATACTCAGGCCTTTCATATCAGAGCAACTAGAGATAAGAAGCTCATCTGCATCATATATCTGTAACACAACACAAATGCCAAACAAATGCACCTGTACACCCCATTTAAATTCAAATTGGGGGGCCAGTGGAATGGCTCAACAGGTAAAGATGATTATCAAACTTGACAACTGACTTTAATCCCCAGGATGGAGGGAAACAGCCAACTCCCTTAAGTTGTTGAACATGATACAATAGTTGCCAGACAGACAGACACACACAAATAAGTGTACTTTTAAAAATTTCTCATAATATATAAAAAAATTTTATTATTTAGCCTCTATACATTTTTATTATCCAAATATTATCATTTCAGCATGCAATCTATATGAGATTTTGTATTTTCTTTTCTCATAGACCATATCTTCAAATTCAGCCAGCATATACATTTTGTAAATGTTTCTTTAAGGACTTATTCATTTATTATGTATACAGTGCTCTGCCGGCATGCATGCCTGCACACCAGAAGAGGGTATCAGATCTTATGATAGATGATTGTGAGATACCTAATGTGGTGGCTGAGAAATGAACTCAGGACCTCTGGAAGACCAGCCAGTGCTCTTAACCTCTCAGCCATATCTCTCCAGCCCCCTTGTCTTTCCCTTTTTTTTTTTTTTTTAAAAAAAAAAAAAGTGCTTGGAGATGGTGGCTTACACTTTTAATCCCAGCACTCGGGAGGGCAGAGAGAGGAGAATTTGTGAATTCGAGGCCAGCCTTGTCTAAAGGCTGAGTTCCAGGACAGCCAGGGCAACATAGAGAACCCTGTCTTCAACACCTCCCCACAAAAGAAAACATTTAATTAAATGAAAAGCTAATTCTGGTAGTAGGGATGGAACCTAGGGCTATAGCAATGCGGGCACTCTGCCATTGATGTTTGTCACCATCTCCCTCTTAGTATGTATTTTCTGCTCAAATAACTTTATAATTCATTCTAGACACATTACAAGTGCTCAATAACCATGTGTCTAGGGGCTTCCATACTGGTTATCATCTTCAATTTGATAAACGTATATAAGAAGCAAAATAATAAATGGCACATGAAGATACCTTCTAATTCAAATATTAAAAGTTTCCAATGCCAAAAGATCTAAAGAAAGCAAGGGAGAAAAACAGAATTTTACAACAATGGGTTAGTAAGAAAGAGTCACACAGGAACAGTTCCCAAACAAATAGAAGGCTTATCTTCTGTTTCATTTTTGAGAGTCTCATGTTACCTAGCTTGGTCTTGAACTCACTAGGTAGCTGAGGCTAGCCAAAATTTTCTGGTCTTCCTCCTCCTATCTCTTGAAGTCCCTGAATTATATTATTATTAGTACTATTGTTACAGACATGTGCTACTATGCTTTCTAAGTATAAGGCATTCTAAACATTTGTTCAAAAACAGTTCAAATTTAAGTACATTGGGAGCCTGAAATACTTATTTGCACACGATAACTCTATAATCACTGTTAATATTCTAGGTCAGATGTTTACAAAATAAACCATCATCATTATTACCATTATTATTTGTCTTAGACAAGCTCTCATTCTGTAACCTAGACTGATTTGAAACCCAGGGTGCCCTAGAACTCCTGCTACAGTGCCTCAGTACTAGGATTACAGGGTGAACTGCCAACCCTGGTGTAAATAAACCTTTAGTGGAAGACAGCTATGGCCATTCATTTACTACCTTTGCATTCCAAAAGCAGAGTTGAAGAGCTGCCATAGAGACTACGTGGTTCAGGATATCTAAACCCTTGAGGAAGTCTGCCACGCTCATCTAGACGACACCATCAAGGTATCATACATGAGTTTCAGGGAAGACTGGTAAAGAGAAGGGAAAACAAATCAAAACACTTTCTTATCCCTTTTCCAAACATGTTAACAACTTTGGAAATTTTCTAAAATGGGCAAAATCTGTCTTAAAACAAATGCACTTCCCTTTCTCCTATATCTTTTCAGTATAGAAGGCTGCCCTGCATTCACCTCTATTCTATATACCTCATGGCAGAATAACTCAGCTGTCTATTATTACTGGACAGTTTAAAAATCTATCTTTCCCTCCTCCTACACTCTGAAATGAGTCTCCAACCTTCTAGTATGAAAACTCCTTTAACACCGCATTTGAAAGGGTAACTGCAATGTGTACTCTGAAGCCATATAAACCCCAGGTCTGCTGTACTGGAACTGACACTACTTACTTAGCATAGATATTACCCATCCTATTCTGAAACACCATGCATTTTGTCACTTTAAACACTAGTGTATTGAGTTATGTAAATCTCACATTATTATTCAGTAATGAAGTGAATCAAACATTAAAAATATTGACTTTTCTGCTGGGTGGTGATAGCACACGCCTTTAATCCCCGGTACTTGGGAGGAAGAGGCAGGCAGATCTCTGTGAGTTCAAGGCCAGCCTGGTATACAAAGGAGTTCCATGACAGACAGGGCTGTCTGACAAGAAACCCTGTCTCAAAAAAAGGGGGGGGCGGGTGAGGGAGGTGCTAAGATATGGCTCAGTGGCTAAGAGCACTGGCTGTTCTTCCAGAGGTCCTGAGTTCAGTTCCCAGAAACCACATGGTGGGTCACAGCCATCGATATGAGATCTGGTATCCTCTTCTGACCTGCAGGTATACACGCAGGCAGAACACTATATACATAATAAATAAATGAAATAAATAAAAAATAAAGAATAAAAAAAATCAGTGCTAATTTCATCAGGAAAAAAAATCCATCAGGATTCTTTCAAATTCATGTTAGAGTTATAGCTTCTATTTTTTTTTTTGTATGGTGTTAGAGATTCAAACTAGGGTCCCCTAGTTCATATATTTTCACAGATAATTTCATCTTGAATTTTATCACCAGCTGCAATATTGTCAGTTATTTTCCTTAAAGTGACAAGTTCATTTCACTTTGGGAAATAATTCTGCCAAACTAAATCCAGGTCAGAATAACCAGATTATATGACTATTTCTCATTCACACAAAATGGTGCTCTATGCAAGCAAAACTTTAGTTTGCAACTGAGCTGAGCTTTAAGAGGATTTGAGAGTACAGCACCGAACTTTACATACACTTCCCACTTCATCCACAGCACCTTAAATAGATATACACATAACCAATAGTCACAATTTAACACAATTAACATCTACTGCTTTGGGAAGGATTTCCTTAAGTGAAAGCTGGCATTTTAAGTGCTTACTGGTAAAGTGTACAGTCACTAATAATCCAGTCTGGCTGGTATTACTGTCTTTTTGTTTATTGTTTGTGACAGTCTCAATATGTGGCCTGACTGGACTCAAATTCATAGAGATTCACCCGCCTCTGCCTTCCTGTTTTATTTAAAAATTATTCAGTAAAAATAGACATCTGAGCGATCTGCCATGATGTCTAAAGAATGGAAGAAAATGTAGAGAAGGGTCCCTCTGCTCAACAGATCTAGGGAGGAAGTAATGGGATTAAGGGCATGTGCCACCATGATTAGCTGGTGTTACTGTCTTGATTCACAACAGCAAGCTGTCATGTTGCAGAATATCCAATCATACCATGAACCCCAAGATTGTGTTATTTACTGGAAAACCTGTTTCTAACTGTGGCAAGGCTCAGCTCTAGCACACACCTTTTCTGTTTGTATATTGTAAACAGGATTAAATAAAGTCAACCATAGGTCAAGAGGCAGAACAAGCAACCAGCAGACAAGTGAACACAGAATTGTTAAGAAGAAAACCATAGCGAATAGGAGGGGTGTCAGGAGGACTAAGAGCAAGAGACGCACAGAAAGTAGAAGGGAGGAACATGCAGCTTGAGATGCTGCAGGAAAAAGAGGTGGTTTCTGGAAAGTCAGCTGAAGAACGTAAGCTGGGCACTTTCTCTGCCTCTCTGAGCTAGCAGGCTTACACTCCAGCATCTAGCTCCCAAGTCTTTACTGGTTAAATCAAACAATAGTCAGGCTGTACAAAAAGGCAAAGAGCGGAAGCTAGAGGCATAGCTCGATGACACAGCATGTGTTTAACATGTGCAAGTTTCTAAATTCAATCCCCAGCAGGTCACACTGGAGTAAATAATGCTTTAGTATTACTATCAAACAGTTTTAACTTTGCTTACATATATATTGCTCTAGGCCATAAGCTTCTCCGAGATAAAAACCAGTGTGATCTCTGCTGTCCACCTGGCATACTACCTAGAATAAAAAAGCTACAACAAATGCTTCCCAATTTAGTTCTTGATGCTCCACAGTTGAGGATAATTCTTACAAAGGACTCAACTTCGTTTCCCAGCACCTACATTAGGTAACTCACAACCACTTGTAACTCCAGCTCCAGGGAAATCCAAAGCCTGTGACACCTGCAGGCACTAGAAATCACATGCTCATATCCACAGACAAACACACATATTTGTACAAAAACATTTTTTCAAACAATTTTTATCTATTTTGCTTTTTACTAATTTTTTTGTTTTTTGTTTTTTTCCAAAACAGGGTATCTCTGCATAGCTCTAGCAATTCTGGAACTTACATCTATAGACTAGGTTGGCTACAACCTCAGAGATCCACCTGCCTCTACCTTTCAAGGCTGAGATTAAAGATGTGTGCCACCACCTCCCGGCTCTTGCTATTAATTTTTTATATTATTCATTTTATGTGTGTTTTGTCTGCATGTATGTATGTACCATGTGGTGCCTGTGGTGGCCAGAGGAGAGCATCAGATCCCTTGGAGTTGTGAACCACGTGGATGGCAGGAATTGAACCCAGGTTCTATGAAAAAGTACAAGTGCTCTTAACTGCTGAGCTATCTTGCCAGGCTCACACACAACTATTTTTTAAAATAGCCCATTTTCAGAAAAGTTAAAAAGCTCTCCCATTTATTTTTCTTCTAACATTGTTTTCCCTGTGTGTATGTGTCTGTCTGTGCTTGTGTCTCATGACACACATGTCAAAGTCGGGAACAACTAGAGGGGTCGGTTCTCTCCTTCCACCACATAGGATCAAATTTAGGCTGTTAAGTCTTAGCAGGAGACACCTTCAACAGAAAAGCATCTTGCCGGTTCAAATTTACATTTCCATACAGATGAACTGTCCATAAGATATATTAGAAGGGATTCAAAAGCCATGCTCATTTAAAATCCTATAAAATTTTATTCATTGAGTTTATAGTCTTATAATTTTCAAACATTTTTACCTTTACAAGTTCTTTAAATACAGCATGCTGAATCATTTTTCTTTTGTTCAGACCAGATGCCATTTCTTCAAGATCAATTGCAGACCTTCATAAGTGACAATTGGGGTAAGAAGAAGAAAAGTCAGTTAAGATAATCTGAAAGTATTTCTATCCCATAGAATATAAAGGTATTCAATCATTCAAATTAATAGTCTAATTAGCATTCACATAATTATTATAGATTCATAAGATTTTAACACAAAGAGCTGTACCATAAAATACTAGATGTAAAACTCTGGTTAGTTTTAAAGGCTTTCAGTTCAATGCATAAATACTAATTTCTCTAGATATAACTACAAAATATTAATTTATTTTTCTTGAAGCTTGTAAATTTTATACAGAGAATCACACTGACGCTCTAGTTCTAAATTCTTAAATGCTAGTAGTTCTGTATCTTCTTCCACACTATCAGTTTAGAAAGAAGGAATGCTAGGATTAGGATTCAAGAAATTAATAGAGGGCCTATATGGTTCGTATGCCTTCCCCAATGGATACAGTAACAAAGACCATACAGTACTCCTTCAAACAGGAACAGAGAAATGGAGGACAAAGGAAAATATAATTCTTCACTCACGAAGAAGGCTACTCATTCAATCTTATCACAACTGCATGAAGAAACCGAACTGTTAAAAAGCTCTTACAGGGCTGGCAAGATGGCTCAGAGGATAAGAGCACTGGCTGCTCTTCCAGAGGTCCTGAGTTCAACTCCCAGCAACCACATGGTGGCTCACAACCATCTGTAATGAGATCTGGTGCCCTCTTCTGGCCCACAGGGATACATGCAGGCAGAATATTGTGTATATCATAATATTAAAAAAAAAAAAAAAAGCTCTTACAATAAAATCATATCCTAACCATAATAAATGACTGAACCTACCCAAATAAAGACGACAGAAGAAAATCTGCACTGCAATGAAGTTATCCTTGGCATGTTCACCATCATTATGGAGATATACAGTCCTTCTTCTCTTCCCTCCATCTAAATCTTCCCGTCACAGCTGACCTGAGACTCACTATATAACTAAGGCTAGCCTTGAACTCATGGAATTCCTTTTGTCTCAGTCTCCCAGGCATGAGCCATCTCCACAGGCAGGTTTTTGACACAGGAGTTCTAAATCGTTCCAGTGCCATACAGAAGTATTTCATAATAAAGCAAACTCTCCTAATTACCTCCTCAATCCCAGTAAACCAAACTTAGTTTTTACACAATTAATTCAACTTACTTAACATTTTCTCTTAATTGCTTCACTAGTTTAATATTAACATCTGCTTCCAATAATGCTGTACATACTTCTTTTAGCATAGCATTTAATACCTGAAAATAAATAAAATTGAAATATGCTTAATGTTTTACTTCAGCAATATAAAAACAGCTGATCACGTATCATGTACTAGTTAATAAAGACATAGCAATACTATTGGAGAAGAAATAAGATTTTCCATTACCTTTAGAGAAAAATTATTATTAAATATCTGCTCATTCTATCAAAATAAGGCACGGCATTTAGTTTTACACAGGTATTAATAACCAAGTATTGGTCATCACAATTTTGTTCTTATTAAAGCATTAATAATAAAAAAACAATACCAAAGGAACAACAGATATTGCCCACAGTGTTTCCTAAATCACTGAAGAATTTTGATACAGATATTTGCAACATATGCTTTTCCTAATTGGAGCAGTATGGAAAACAGAAGGCAACTCCTAGTCTTTCAATTCCTATATATCAAGAGAAATAAAGTAGAAAAGGGGTCTATTTTCCACTGAAAATTCCCTATCACAAGAGTGTGGAGATGCAGGCACTGTGATTAGGTCATGAACTATAAGCACTGTAAGAAAAAATAAAGCTTCAGCTGCTCACACAAACAAGAACATGCACAGTAGAAAAGAAGCTGCATAAGAGGAAGAATTTCTGTCTGTTTTGCTCACTGCTTGACCTTTGTGCCAGCAAAATGCCTGTAAATACAGGTCTTCAAATAGAACTGTCCTTTGTAAGCCCTCCAGAGACCTATGAGGATTCTCCAGCCCTCATCAAGGGGTACTGTCTAGAACTGATTGCCCACCAGAGAGATGGTCTGGTTAATTTGCTAGTGGAACACCAAGGCTAGAAAACCTGTCAACTCAGAAATGGTTGTTCCACTTCCACCAAGTACTTCACACACTGACTTACCCAGTCCCCCACCCCTTTGAGACAGTATCTCACTATAAAGCCATGGCTGGCCTTGAACTTCTCTATCCTCTTTCCTCTACTTTCTAAGTGTTGGGACTAGAGGCATGTGTCATCACTCCTGACTTCCTTTGTCTCTATTTTTTTGGGGGGGAAGTGTGTGGAAAGATGGGTATGCTTTAAAAAAAAAGTCTCGGGACTGGAGAGATGGCTCAGCGGTTAAGAGCACTAGTTGTTCTCCCAGAGGTCCTGAGTTCAATTCCCAGCAACCACATGGCGGCTCACAGCTATCTATAATTAGGTCAGGTGCCCTCTTCTGGTGTGTAGGCCTACATGAAAACAGAATGTTGTATGCATAATAAATAAGTTTATCTTGAACTCATAAACTGAGATCCTCCTGTCTCAACTTTCTGTGCACCAAATGTAGGATTTGTCATCTTTCTCAGTCCTGTTTCTCTACCAGAGTAAGAATAAAGGCTACAGAACATTAAACATTGCTCAAAAAGCTGTTGTTTTAGTTAGTGTGGGTTATAAGACTAAGCAACAATTTAAGTTCTGATTATCAAGGTGAAACAATGGCAGAGAGAGGGCTCAGTGGCTGAGAGCACCTGCTGCTCTTCTAGAAGACCCCAGTCTGAGTCCTAGCACGTGGAGCAGCTCTCGAGCTCCGATACTTAAACTTTCCCTGCACACCCGTACTGGTGCGCACATAACTTCATACAGACATACACATAGGAAAATAAAAAAATTTAAGTTTAAAAAGAAAAAAGTGAAGCCGGGTTGGTGGTGGAGGACAACTTTAATGGGAGGCAGAGTTAGGCAGATCTCTGAGGTCAAGGCCAGCCTAGTCTACAAGAGCTAGTTCCAGGACAGCTAGGACCAGGACACAGAGTCACCCTGTCTTGGGTGTGTGTGTGTGTGTGTGTGTGTGTGTGTGTGTGTGTGAGAGAGAGAGAGAGAGAGAGAGAGAGAGAGAGAGAGAGAGAGAGAGAGAGAGAGATAACAGGGTAAATTACTTTTCAGTGAAAGGCACTTCTTACTGTTATAATATTTACAGTATTAAATCTACGTCAAATTAAATCACAACTCTAAAGATCATTATTTAGTCCTGCTCTCCCATCCTAGTAACAATGCACACAAATGTATTACACTTATTTTCATACCTCTTCATTGATAATGGTGGCATTGCTCAATGAGCGTAATGCTGATGTTATTTTTCTTCCAAGATCTGCTAGAACCATCTTGAAGGTTTTAAGATGTACTTAAGAGAACTCTAGAAAGGAAAGAAAACATAAATTGAAAACCATTTCACATTAAGTCCTAACTGAAGAAAAAGAATACTTAAATTCAAATTAAAGTACTCAAAATTTAAATACTGTTATTTATACACTTCTATAACCTCAACCTGCAACTTTAATACATGCATATCTGGAAGATAAAATGTCTACTTGATTATGAATCTTTACATTTAAATATCTAGAGAATCTTATACATAAATCGTCAGATTTAAAATGTTAAATAAGCCAGGCAGTGGTGGCACATGGCTTTAATCCTAGCACTTGGAAGACAGAGGCAGGAGGATCTCTGTGAGTTCAAGGCCAGCCTGGTCTACAAGAGCTAGTTCCAGGACAGGCTCCAAAGCTACAGAGAAACCCTGTCTCGAAAAAACAAAATAAAATAAATAAAAGATAACACGTCAAATAACATCTGCTGAGGCAATAACAATATGATCTTTAATAACTGTGTTTTCTTTTGGCACATGCTCTTGAGTATGAGTAACTGAATGCTACACCATGTCCACTGTAGATAACAGGGGAAGCAAACTCTCTAGAAATGGTGCTGAATTTCCACCTCAAGGACTCTGAGCTATTTTGAATGTGACTTTTAAGTAGAAAAGAAAAAGCAAAAGAAAAACAACCTTAATTCATAAATCGCTTAACTCTTCTAGCCCCAAACAAATCAACTGCTGAGTCATTAACTACACCGACAGTCACCTGCTAAATAATTCCTTTAATCCCAGCACTTGGGACTCAGAAATAGACCTTTTTGAGTTAGAAGCCAGTCAGTTCTACAGAGAATTCCAGACCAGCTGAGGCTATGTAATGAGACCCTGTCTCAAAAATAAAAATAACATTACTTCATTTTAATACTTCTAACCACCAAGGAAATAATTACTCTTCCCATTCTAAAGTGATTTCCTGATTTCTTTTTTCTCTGAGACAGGGTTTCTCTGTGTAACTCTGGCTGTCCTGGAACTCACTCTGTAGGTCAGGCTGGCCTCTTGCTCCCAAGTACTAGGATTAAAGATGTGTGTCACCACTGTCCAGCTGATTTCCTGAGTTCTTAACTCCAAAATACAGTAACCTCAAAATTCCTTTCCCTTAAGCCAGGCATAGGGTACACTTCTGAAATCCTAGCACTTAAAAACATGGGAGCAGGAGAAACAGTAAAGAGATGGAGGGCAGACTGGGTTACATGAGAAACTCTAAAACAAAAACAGAATAAAGGTATAGTTTTATAAAAGAATACAGATAGATATAAAAGTATACAGACTGCTTCACATAAGGATGATAGAACTCACAGAAGTAAGTAAATATGAATACTGCCAGCCCCAAACATGCTTTAGTTACTAGCTAGTAAGGCAAGGTCCATGAATGAACAGCAAAATAAATGCCAAAACAAATTCCTCTTCCTGACTATGAAGTAGAACCCAGTTCCTGCATCTTTGGTTTGCAGCCTGTCATGCTAGTCTTTGGACTGCAACTACAGCATTGGCTTCAACTTGTCGAACTTTAGACTTGTCAGCCCCTGTAATTTGTCTGAGCTAATTCCTACAATTCCTGAATATGGGCAGGCTAAATAGGTAGGAAAGCCGGCAAAAGGGAATTTGATAGCTGTGAAATGGAAAGAGCAGAAATACAAACATGGGATAGCCATAGGGGTGGTGACAAGGTATCCTAGTCAAGAGAGTGCCATACAGTTTTTAAAGGCTTTGAAAACAGTCCATAAACAATATTGGCCAAAAGATAACTGTCTAAAATAATTGTTTTGGCAGTCTTTTTGAGATTTCTAGACTTGATTCCATTTGGCGGGGTATACAAGATACTAAAAATAAAACAAAAAACAAAACAAAACAAAACAAAACAAAACAAAACTGGGCATAGTGGTGCATGTCTTTAATCCCAGCACTCCAGAGGTAAAGGCTCTGTGAGTTCAAGGCCAGCCTGTCTATGTAGAGAGTTTCAGGAAGGCAGGGCTAGAGAGACCCAATCTCAAAGAGAGACAGAGAGAGAGAAGAGGGGAGGGAAGGGAAGAGGAATGGAGGAAAAGAGAAAAAATAAAAATGGACTGGAGAGATGGTTCAGCAGTTAAAACTTATTGCTCTTCTGGAGGACTTGATTCCTCGTTCACACCTAAAGCCAGTTCCAAGGGAGTCAGGTGCCCTCCTGTGACTCCCACACACCTGTACTCACACAAATGGCAAACATTTACACAGATTCATACACATAAATAATAAAAATAAATCCTTTAAAAAAAATAAGGGGCTAAAGATAAGGCATTGACCACTATTCCAGGTTCAGTTCCCAGCACCCACATGGCAGCTGACAACACAGCTCACAATTGCCTGTAATTCCAGTGCTAGGGAATCTTCTGGTCCCCTCTTCCACCACCAGCATACATGTGGTACACCGACATACATGTAGGCAAAAAAACTCCACAAACATAAAAAATGAAATAAAAAGGTTAATTCAAAAGGAAAACAGTAAGAAAAGAGCTAATGTATCTGCCAGAGGGAGATTTAAGAGACTGAACTTAGGTGAGTTAAACATACAGGAAAAGAAAATGAATTCAGGATCTATAACAGAAAGGAAACATCTCAGGCTAATTAAAAAAACATTATATTCAAAGTCAAGAAAAATTAAGTAATTTAAAAATTTAAAAAATGACTATTTCCAGGAGTGGTGGTACACACCTTTAATCCCAGCACTCAGGAGGCAGAGGCGGAGGATCTCTGTGAGTTCGAGGCCAACCTGGTCTACAAGAGCTGGTTCCAGGACTGACTCTAAAGCTACAGAGAAACCCTGTCTCGAAAAACAAAAAATAAATAAATAAATATTAAAGCTGGACATGGTGGTATAGTCCTTTAATCCACAGGAGAGACAGGGGTAGACAGATCTCTGAGCTGGAGGTTAGCCAGGGTGATACAGTGAAACCCTGTCTTAAAAAAAATTAAAAATTTAAATTATAATTTTTTAATTATTGCTGGCATGATGAAAATGAGAAGTTTTGCTTACCTTGAGCAAAGGTTCTTGTTTTTTTAAGTTACATGGTTGTTTAACCTCAAAGAGCAACTACTTCATGGAAAAGATTCAAGATTTATTTCTTATCCCATATCCAATAAACTGAGTCAATTCATGGAAGAAGTGGGATGCTTCTACTCCTCACCTTTCATCACTGCTATCAGTAGTGACTAGTCCTATCTGTGTCACCACAATGAACTTAAGGTGACATCATAAAAAGAACATCCTCCATTTTAAAAAGTTAGAATCTAGGGGCTGGAGAGGTGGCTCACAGGTTAAGAACACTAGCTCTTGCAGACATTCTGGGTTTAATTCCCAGTACTCACTCGGTAGTCTACAACTCATCTGAAGATCTGGAGCTGTAAGCCTTAGATGAGCAAGAACATGTGATGTTTGGGACTGGGGCTGTAACTAAACCTGAGGCTCACCATTTTGGCCCCCTCACTGCTGGTGTGCAGGCGCACATAGCTTTCACGTGGGTACCGGGGATTTAAACTCGGATCCTCAAGCTCGCATAGCACATGCTCTTAGGCACTGAGCCATTTCCCAGACACCTCATTATCATTTAAGGTTGTATTTATTTTCAGAGCAAGCATGGATTTATTAAGGAAATCTAAGGAAAACTCCAGAGGATGGATGGGGTTCTGGGGGATGGAATACCCCTCTTTTAAAACAGAGCCTGTTCTGTAGCCCAGGTTGACCCTTTGCCTAGGTCTCTTCTGAATGCTGGTGTTACAGGCTGCATTATCATGCCTAGCCTAACCGAAGTCTTCTCTACTTTTTCTTGCATTAGCCTATGAAGTTGGCGGGAGAGAGAGCTCACATGGAAAAGTGCTTGCTACGCAATCATGAGGACTTGAGTCCAAACCTTTTTTCATATCTTAAAACTCTTGGTAAAAATATAGCCAAGAATCAAGAGTAATTGAGATTTTGTTTAATCATGTCCAGCAACAATATTTTGATTTACTAAAGTTGTCTAAAGGATCTAGGGAGACAGCTCAGCCACTGAAGTGCCTTTATATACACAAAGACCTGGATTTGATTCCAGGAACCCATATAAATTGCCAGGCGTGGTTTATATTTACACGCAATCTCAGTGCTGGGGGTGTGGAAACAGGCAGAACCCAGGGGCTTCCAGCCAGATTATCCTACTTGGCCAGTGCCAGGCCAGCAAGAGACCCTATCTCAAAAAACAAGGTGGACACAGCCTAAAGTGACTGCAGAAACCAGGAAAGGGAAAAGGGCTCACTGTGGGGTGGGGAAGGAGTAGAGATAGGGTACAAGTGATCAGAGAGCAGGGGAGAGGAAAAATAGGATAGGATTCTAATTAGGTAGAGGAGGGGGATAAATACAGAGGACAGACAGGAGTGTGGTGATATTTTGTTTGTAATCTAACAAAGTTGCCTGAAGATCAGAGGGCAAAGCTAAGACATAGAGGTCAGGCAGGGTGGTGTGTACCTTTAAACCCAGCCAAAGATGGACCTCTGTGAGTTCAAGGCCACCCAGGGCTACACAAAAACAATCCAGTCTAAAAGAGAAACAGCCAGGCAGTGGTGGCTCACACCTTTAATTCCAGTACTTGGCATTCATATGCCTTTAAGGACAGAATTTAGGGAGGTGGAGACAGGAGTGATATGGCTGGGTGGAGGAATATAAGGCGGGAAGAGACAGGAGCTCAGACGTAGTCAGAGGATGCAGTCTGAGATGTAGTCTGAGTGTGCAGTCTGAAAATTCGGTAGAGGTAAAAGGCTGGCTGCACTGTTTCTCTGGTCTCAGCTTTTACCCCCAATATCTGACTCCAGGTTTTTATTATTAAGACCAATCAGAATTCGAGCTACACAGGAGGGTAAAACAACCAAAATAAGGGTGCTTGAAAGAAGTCATACTATTAACACTCTACCTAAAAAACAAAACAAAAAAGCTACAATATAATTAAGTCTGTATATAAATATACATATATAGTTTAAATGAAATTTTCTCATCTGGACTAACAATGTTCCCTCTAAAAACCAAAGACCATCTAATAAAAATGCAACAGCATGCATGAAAAGGCTTCTTTTGGGTTCTACAAGAGACTCCCAAGACATGAAGGGCTATTGCTATTGCCCTTGGTTGCTCCCCCGCTCCAGAAGCAGAAAGCAAGTCCCTATTAATGAAAACACTACATAGTTCAGACACAGGGCCCAAAGACTTCGGAGCAGAAATCTTCCTCCCTGAAGACTAGCTTTCTTGGTAGCAGAGGGCTCCATGCAAGCTTCAAAAGGAGGGAAGCGACCAGCCAGCTATGACTGTATCAAGCAAAGCAACTGGTATGGTACGACCCAAGGGTGCAGTAGTGGCACACATACCCTGCAGTAACCAACAGCTTTCAGCTGGCCTCAACTTTACACAGGAATTATAGGAAACTAAGGAATGCTCAGAGTAGGAGAAGCAGCCTTCCTCATGAACACACCAACTGGTTATCTGATACCAAATGGTCAGCCCTGAAAACCTACATACAAGTCATATATAGACTGAGAAGGGTGTATTTATGTATTTAGAAATATATACATACATGTATGTAACAACAGTTAATAAAAAACCATGAATTTTAAAGTGAACAAGGGTATATAGGAGGGTTTATTGGGAGGAAAGGGAAGGGGAAATTAAAAAATTATATTATAATCTCAAAAATTAAAAAATAACTTTAAAAAGATTTTACAATTAAAAAGAAAAAAAGACCCTGTTAGGTAGGAGTTAGGCAAGAAGGAACATATCCAACATTCTCCCCTCTAGTTTCTTCTTCAGACCTACACACATATACAAATGCTCAAACACATAAACACATACCTCCCTCCCTTCCCCATATCACACCCAATAAACAACGAGAATAGTAACTAACAAAAACAAAAGGGTGAGTGTAGCAGTGCACAGTTTTTATTTTGGATGGGAGACTTCTAGAAGACCTCGGTGATCTACATGTGTGGTCTAAATAACAAATACTAGGCCAGCCAGGGCTACATAGTAAGAACCTGTGAAAAAAAGAAAAAGGAAAAGGGGGGCAGGTAAGAAAGGAAAAGAAAAGAGGGGGAAAAAACCCTACAAGAACAAAATATTGCCAAAAGGAAAACTGAAAACAAAAACTGCAAAAACAAAACACAAAAACCCTTGGAAATAGTTGTTGCTTTTGAAACTGAAGAGAGCACTGATAGGGCAAAAAGGAAAAGGGGAGGAAGGCACAAGACAAGTAATGTTACATTAGTTACATTTATACAATGCCTATCAGCTCAAAATAAAATCCTCAGTCACAGTCTCCAGGGACAATGACTTCAGAGGAAAAAATAATAAAATGTTTTAGAGAAGTAGTCTTATCTAAACTCTTGATTAGGCACAGCCAGGTCTGGCCTCAGCAACATTCCTCAAGTCAAACAGGAATGAAACTGTCTTCAATGTTTTGCTTGTTTTGTTTTCAAAATAGGGTTTCTCTCTGTAGCCCTGGCTGTCCTGGAACTCACTCTGTACACCAGGCTGGTCTCGAACTCGAACATATCTGCTTGCTTCTGCCTCTTCAGTGCTGAGTAAGTAGTGCACCACAATAGCCCAGCTTGTCCTCAACTTTTAAAATATCTTAGGCAGAGGAACATTACAGGTATATTTTATTTTACCAGGAAGATCACTTGAGACCATGGCTCCAAGGTCAGCCAAGGCAACATATTAAGATCTAGTCTCAAAAAGGAAAACAAAAACTTTATGTACACACATAAACATATGTACCCGAATATACGGAATAAAAACATCTTTGGAAACAACAGCAAATGCATCCAATGGAGAAAAACCCGAGAGACACAAATCTACAAGTACTAGCCATAATCCCAAAGCTTACAAGAGAAATAAAAGTGCTCCTGAACAACAAAAATACACGAGACAGTCTACAGGACTGACTGACCAAACGGTTGTAAAAAGATGAGGAAGAAGGCAAAAGTTATTCCAGCGTTTCCAGTTTGAATAGCCAGGCGGCTAACAACGGCATTAACCAATGAATGGGAGCAAAGGGAAGCGGCTCTGAAAGTTAGAAAGAGCAATACAGGAAAAAAAAAATCCAAGAGTCTTAGTTATTCATAATGTCCTACAACTTAAGTAAAATGTCTAGATAAGTGTTCCTTTTCTTACACTGCTTTGTTGTATATTTTAGGAGTGGGGTACTGATAATGATGCCCAGGCTCACCTCCAATTCCTGTGCTCAAATTATTTCCCAGCCTACAAAGCAGCCAGACACATGTGGCTTAGTCTTTTTAAAAATTGAACATACACATTACACAACAAAAAACACACTGCTTCTATACATTTCAACATCTATACTACATAACCTGGTGGAAAATGGGAGATGGAAGCAGTGAACTTGCTTTGGGCCAACTGAGTCCGCAGAAAGTGCAAAACTCTCAAATTGAAGGCTAGGGGAAAGAAAGGCATGGCCTGTGGGAATAATGCATGAACACAACACATGTAGGTGAGAACACTCTCAAGGGGAACTGATGAAGAGCATGCATTCTCACAATAAGGGGCAAATATAACAGCAGATCAACCAAGATAAAAGCATCCCAAGAGACTAAAAGTTTTTATTCCAAAAGCACACTGACAAAAAAAAAATCTACCCTTAAAAGCAAAAAAAGCTACCATGGAAGGACTATGCCTTGTATAGTACTCTTTATTAAGTCAGAAAAAGACTATTCAGACTCAAAAAGTCGAGGGGCATAGGTATGAGGGAACGTCTCCCTCTTCTTTTGGACCACTACTGATTTGTCCTAGTAATTGTATTAAACGTGCTACCTAACTCTCTTCCATCCTCTTAAGCCTGTTAGGAAATAGACACTTGATTTCAACAGCAAGTAGTTCAGACAAATCTCTTAAGGAGCAATTAACTTTCATCCCATACCTCTTATGAGACAGGGTTTCTCTGTAGCTTTGGTGCCTGTCCTGGAACTATATCTTGTAGACCAGGCTGGCCTCGAACTCCCAGAGATTCACCTGCTTCTGCCTCCCGAGTGCTGGGATGAAAGGCGTGCGCTGCCACCACCACCCGGCTATCCCAGACCTCTTCATGCCTAACTAGAGTGTGTCATTATTCGTCATGCTATAATATATTATTTATCGACTTTTTCCTCCCCTGTACTCCTAGCATCTCTGATGGGGCTTGTGTCCTTCATTACTTTATCCTTACATCTTACCTGTAAACATTTTGTTCAAATGCATACATAACAACTAAGTGAAGACTAGCAACAAGAAAATCTATATACACTTAGAGGTGGTGGCACTGACAGATGGATCTCAGTGAGTTCAAAGTCGGCCTGGTCTACAAAGTGAGTTCCAGGACAGTCAGGTTTGTTACACAGAGAAACCTTGTCTCGAAAAAGGAAAAAAAAAAAAGGGAGAAAGTCTCAAAACACAAAAGCATTGTCAGTACTGTAAACTAATAAAAAACAAAATTTATCTTTGTCACTGAACTATCTTATTCATTTAGCCAAGATCTACTACGTGCAGAAATAACAATATGTTAAGAACTAAAAGGAAAACAAAATCCAGTACACATCAGAAGGCTTTGAGCAAGTAGCCTCATCTAAGTTCAGGAAAGCCATCAAGACTACAAATGCTTACATCTTATTTGGCTCGGATAAATCTGAAGACAAATTAAAAGGGTAAACAGTGCATCCTTTAGTAAAACTTGCGACGGAAGACAAGAAATAAGAGTGTTGGGGCACCTCCGCCTCGGCGATCGCAGCCTGCGGCGGCGACGAGGGACAACTCCCGCAGAAGCGTCTCGCCCAAACTAGGGGTCCGGCTGCCCCGGCTACTTTCTCAGCAGCGCAGAGCGAGGAAAACCCCCACACTCACCGCGAAAGGCACCACTAAAGCCGTGGCCCCCCAGGGCCGGCGAGTCCGGGGCGAGGCCCTGCGCCGCAGAATGACACCCAGGAACACTGGAAGCAGAAGGACAGGGACGACCCTGCAGCCCAACTTCCCAGCTACAGACACCAGGGGCCCAGCGCCCAGCGCCGAGAAGCCAACTCCCACCAGCTGGAACACCGACGACAGCCACCGAACCTTCCGCCCAATGAGGAGACGTCATCACTCAGCGTGGGCCAGCCCTTCGTGGAGAAAACACACTTCCGCTTCCGGGGCACAAAACCTAGTTCCGGCGGCCGCCTATGCTAAGGGTTGAGGGGCGTTCTTTGCTGGGGCTGACCTTTGACCTTAGTATGCTCCCTGTACGTCACTGCGGCGGCCGGCTAGCGGCGAAACCGGCCCTCTCCGGGTGCTATCTCGGGGGACAGTCAGGACTCGAAGAGCCACCTGGAGAAAGAGCGACTCGGTGACAGTGTGCAGGGGGACCCAGCGAAGGGCGAGGCTCGGGGCTTCCGGAGCCGCCAGAGGCGGGAATCCCCGAAGGGGCGGGGCTTAGCGGCTCGGCCCTCTGGAGTGACGTCTCCACGGAGGGCGGGGTCGCGGCGAGCGCGGGGTCTGTCTGCGCGTGCTCAGTGCGAACGTGTTCGTGTTGTGGTTGCTGGCTGCGGCATGGACTTTGGCTCCGCTCGGCGAGCTGTGCTTCAGCTGCTCGGTACTACGGCTCCAGCAGATGTCCCGGCACTGCTCCACTGGATGAGAACTACTCGTAAGCTGTCATAGCTAGAGCCCGGCCGTTTGCTGTTGGCCTAGATCTTGGGGTACCAGGACAGGGCGGAGACTATGCACCAAGTTCCCAGGCAGCTCTTGGCCACCGCACACCTCATACCTGGTCATCACAGTGCATTTTAGGAATGGATGCCTGAGAACCAACTTTAGGTGGTTTGTGATGCTCGTGCTGACTTTAGTCAGGCTTCTAGAACCTCTTTGTTAAGTTACTCGCACAGGCGGATTCTACCCGGAATAGCAATGTTCAAAAAGGTTTAAGGCTGTAGAATTATCCTTAAAGTAATAACAACAACAAGCCAATGTAGCTATACATTTATTTTTTTATACATGGTAAAATGGAAATCTTTCGGGGTGTGAGATGGACAAAAAGACTAATTTTAAACTGTTAATAGTAAAAGTAAAACCAAAAATTACAGAGGTTAAGGAAATTTTCTTTTCTTTTTTGTTTTTTGAGACAGGGTTTCTCTGTAGCTTTGGAGCCTGTTCTGGAACTAGCTCGTGTAGCCTAGGCTGGCTCAAACTCAGATCCACCTGCCTCTGCCTTGCAAGCGCTGAGATTAAAGGTGTGCACCACCTCCCGGTCCAAGGTTCAAGCAATTTTCCATTGTCATATTTATGTTGAAACTTCAAACAACGTTAAAGGAGACTATGTGGCTGTTTACCAGATGGGGGCCTGCATTTAACAAGAAGTTGAGAATTCTGGGGAATCTCTGAGGCCAGCCTGTTCTACCTAGCGAGTTCTAGGACAGCCAGGGTCATACATAGAAACCCTGCCTAGAAAACAAAACAAAACATAAAACTCTTAGATGTTTAAGAAAATTGCATAAACTGGGCGGTGGTGGCACAGAAGCTGGCGGATCTCTGAGTTCAAGGCCAGCCTGGTCTACAAGAGCTAGTTCCAAAACAGCTAGGAATGTAACACAGAGAAACCCTGTCTCGAAAAACTAAAAAGAGGAAAGAAAATTGCAGCGTTTTAGGAGATGTGGCATGTTCATTTGGTATGTTGTGTTACGACCCATTTGCATACATGCTTTCTACAATTAGTTAGGTTTTCTTTGCCCTTGTTTTGTAATGTATATCTAAATATTTTTCTTGAGCTATTATACAATGTAGGGTTTTTAAATGTGTAATGTTCTTTTGTCATTATTATTTAATGTATATGAGTGTTTTGCATATGTCTGCAGCTACCATGTGGGTCTCTAGGATCCTTTTTTTTTTTTTTTTTTTTGGTTTTTCGAGACAGGGTTTCTCTGTGGTTTTGGAGCCTATCCTGGAACTAGCTCTTGTAGACCAGGCTGTCTAGGATCCTCTTGATCCTAGGTCTTCTAAGAACAGGTGTTCATAACTGCCAAGCCATCTGACCAGCCCATAAATTGTACTTTTAATTTCCATTTCTCTATACAAATGTGAGGGTAACTGTCCGTTGTTTTGTGACATGTGACCTTGTTGAAATGACTGGTTTTAGGTATTTTTCAGTAGACTCCATAGTTCTTTCTCCAAAGATAATCATGTCATCTCTGTATAGACTTGATTTCCTTTTTTAATGTTTTTGATTTTGAAAATTTCTCTCAATATATTTTGGTGATATTCTTTCCCTTCCCACAACTCCTCCCATACCCCTCAGCCCACTTCACGTTCTTTCTTAGAAGAAAAAAAAATTTCAAACCAAAAATATGCAATGTTTTGTGAATTTTCATGATAGCCTCTGTATTGGCCATAGGCATGCCTGATTTCATTCCCCGCCCTTTCCATGGGTTTTCCTTTCTCGACGTATTGGCCAGTACTATACTACCTTTACTATACACGGTAAGGATGCTGAGACCAGACCGCCTTTCCTTCCCTCGCCTTCAGTCGTTGAAAGTGTCAGCTGTAGAGGTTTCTTTGTAGGCACCTGGGACTCTCCTTTCTTCTTGCCTGTGTGCTCAGTTCTTTCTACAAGAACAGAAGCCGCTTTCCTGGGTCACCTTGCTAGGCCACCTTTCACTGATGAGGGAAGTCAAACCAAGCCTGTTGTGATTTCTGCTACTGGGCAGGTGTCAGGGTGTTGATGACCCCGAGACAGCAGGCTCCACTGATGGGACATCAGCCACCTCCTCGCTCCCACCCCTATCCACCCACCCCTGTGTGGAGTGTGGGCTGGGGCTCCCTAGTAGCCACCCTGCCTGTATGGAGTGCGAACTGAGGCTCCCTGGTAGTCTCTGTTATTCTTTTTCTCTGTCTCTGGCCACAGACAGCTTTCCTTAGGTTTATTTTGTTTTGTTTTCCTCGTGTGCTCTATAGCGGTTCTAGTTTGCAGGCGGCTAATGCCATGAATGGGCTTTATTAAAGATTTAAAAGCAGTTTAGCGCAGTCTACCTCCTCAGATCCTGTAGTAACGGAACAGTTCGCTTGCTTTCTAGTTTTCTAGTTGTTTTGTGATGCTTGTTGGGTTGTTTATCGGGCATCTGGTTGATTTAGAAGAAAGCAAGTGGAAGTCTCTTAATTTGGGAGCATAAGAAGTTCCATATGACCTAGTGCTCCTTATGTACTCCTACTACTTTCTAGTAACTCTCTAGAGATGAGCCAGGGGGTGATACAGGTCAGAGGTGGAAGGAGCAGCGTGCCTAGGAAGTAGCATGAAACAGTGGAGATGCATCTAGAGCAAAAATATTAGGGAATGATGAGAATAGAAAGTGAGAAATTGACCTCACATCTCTTACAGTGGCTGTTATCAAAAAGGTCAAAAATGACAAGGGTTGGCAAAAATGTGAAGGGACATGGTTATATGTTGTTGGTAGAAATGTAAGTTAAATTAGCGTATCCATTTTGGAAAGTGGTATTGGAAGGTCCTCTAAACACTAAAAATAGAATTAACTTATTCAACAATTCCACCTCTGCATATATATCCAAAGGAATTAAAATTGGTATATCAAAGCTATCTGTACCCCTGTATTTATTTCAGCATTATAAATGGAGCTTTAACATTTTATATACACAATAGAATATTGTTCAGCCTTTTTTGTTTGCTTGCCTTACCTGCCTACCTGCCGGCTTGCTTGAGTGGTGGCACTGAACCTAGGGATTCCCACATCTAAGCACACAGTTTACACTAGACCAAGCTTCACCCTTTAAACAGAAATTTCTGTTAACTTGCAATAACTTAGATAAATCTAGAGAGTTTTGTGTTATATGCAATAAGCCAGGCACAGAAAGACAAATATTGGGGCTGGAGAGATGGCTCAGTGGTTAAGAGCAGTGACTGCTCTTCCAGAGGTCCTGAGTTCAATTCCCAGCAACCACATGGTGGCTCGCAACCATCTGTAATGAGATCTGGTGCCCTCTTCTGGCCAGCAAGCAGACAGACAAACAGAACACTATACATGAAAGAAAGGAAGGAAGGAGGGAGGGAGGGAGGGAGGGAGGAAAGACAAATACTGTATTATCTCACTGTTACTTTTTTCGTCTGTGGACCAGATAACCTCACCAGTGGTAACTAACAGGAAGGCATAGTGGTGGGAGCTAGTTACTCATCTCTACAGCCAACCAGGAAGCCACGACCATGGACTGAACCAGGGGTCTTTATCCCTCCAGCCCCTCCCCTATAGTCCTATCTCTCCGGCGCTTTGTCCATCCAGTTCCACAGAATCCCAAAACAGCGCTCCTAACTTAAGACCAAGTGTTCAAACACATTCAAAGGCTAGCACTCTGTAGAGTAGGAAATTACCAAACTTGAAAAACTATAGCGTTGAGTGGAAGACACTACATGGAGTGTAGGGAATGGAGTTGGGGGGGGGGGAGTGTTGATCACTGGTTACAAAATTTCAGAAATTTGTTTGTTTGCTTTCTTGGAGGTAGGTTTTTCTGTGTAGCCCTGACTGCCCTGGAACTCACTTTGTGGGCCAGGCTGATTTCAAACTCAGATCCACCTGCTTCTGACTCCCAAGTCCTGGGATTAGAGGTGTGCCTTTATCATCCAGCTATTTCAGAATTATTAAAAGCACATTTTAAAATGTTCTTTCCAACAAGAAATAAGTGTGTGAGGGGAAAGGTATGATAGCTGAACTGATTTTATTCTTCTGCAATGTATTTATTGTACCCCAGAAAAAAAATACAATGATTATTTATTAATTCAAGATTAAATTGAAAACAAATAGAATGATTAGACTCTGGTGTTATAAATGACTTTAAAAGTTTCCTAGAGTCAAGTTTAAGAATGGGAGGAGTGAGAATATGAGCAGAGAGATTAAGACCATGGTGTGGATACCCACTGAAACAGCTTACCTAAGCGAATGGAAGCTCACCAACTCCAGCCAGCACTGGACCAAGCTGGACCCTCTAAATGTGGATGACAGTTGCATGGCTGGGGCAGACTATGGGTCCACTAGCAGTGGCACCAGGATTTGTCCCTACTGCTCGTACTGGCTTTTTGGAACCCATTCTCTTTGGATGTATACTTTGCTCAGCCTGGATATAGTGGAAAG